ATAGAGTAAAGTAAAGTATAATATTTAATTCTTCTTTATATTATAAGTTTAAAGACTTATATTGTTATAAGTATAATACTATTCTATTATGTTTTTTAATATATCTTCTATATTAAGTTCTTTATACTATACTTATAATTTATTATAACTTATTATTCTAGAGAACTATATATCAAAGTTTATAACTAAGCTATTAGTAAAAAATATCTTTGAAATATAAGTAAATATAATAGTAATATCTTTTATTAGTAATTTTAGACGTATAAGTTTATTATATACTTTTAAATACCTACTTATAAATATAAAGAATATAATATATTATAAGCTTTTTATAAGCACTAGTCTATATTTTAAATATTACTTAGTATTTATAGTACTATAATACTATAGTATTATAATCTAACTAAAAATTACTTAATTGTCCTGTATAGCTTCTTTGTTAAAATCTATAATTATAACTAATATTATTATTTTTTAAAATTAGATCCTTTACTACTCTGCTATAATATTTTAAAATACTATTTTAAGTCTTCTTAATTATCTTAGAGTTACTTAGTTCTGTAGTATTAGTCTAAATCTAATAAGTAACTAAGCTATATATAATGTAGATAACTAGAGTAAGTTTATAGTTCTTTTCTAAGTTTCTTTACTTTATTGTAAATCTATTATACCTATAACACTTGCGCTACTAATAGAGTTAAAATATATTATAGAGATTTAAAGTCTAAATTACTATCCTTATATTTTACTTAAAGAAAAAAGATTACTTTATAGTATAAATTTATTAGAGGTTATAAGTATAAAGCAAAGTCCCTAACAAAGTATATAAGGTATTAGATTACTCTAGTTTAGTAATATATTTATAAAGGTATTAGCTCTTAAATATTAAATATAAAGTTATAGCTATAGCTAGTTTACTACTATAAGCTTATAGTAATATTTTTACCTTATTCTTCTTAGGTTTACTACTAGCCTATCTACTATTTAAAAAAAGTAATTAAGATTAGCTTACTAGATAATATATTTTATTATTAAGTAACATAATTCTTAAGCTAGTTATATAATAAAGCTTAACTAAGAGTAAGTAATATAAAAAAAAGCTAAGTTTTAGAAAGTATTATTTATAAAAAAAGTTTTTAATAAGTATTTACACTATTAAGCTTATTTATTAATTAATTTAAAGTAATCTAAGTTATAAAGAATTAAATAGAGATTAACTCTAACTAAAGTAGTAGTAGTAGTAGTAGTAGTAGTAGTAGTAGTAGTAGTAGTAGTAGTAGTAGTAGTAGTAGTAGTAGTAGTAGTAGTAGTAGTAGTAGAGAAAAGTAGCTTTAATAAGATAGACTAATAGAAATAAGTAATAACAATAACTTAACAAGTAGAATAAAACAAGTAGATAACACTCTGCTACAGGAGTAAAGATACTTCTATTGTTATTATAAGGTTTTATTTTCTTTAATTATTATTATACAATATACTAGTTTAACATCGTAGACAACCGTTATTCCCCGATACTGTTGTAGGCTATACGTCGCTCTAGCGACGTTCGTATGTACTACAGCCGATCCTCGTTCTCTTATCAATACCTTCTTCGCTATCAGTTTCCTTGTCGTCTCCTCGTTTACGTTTCTCCCTTGTTTCTTCAGTTATACCATCTCGCTTTGGCCAGAAGCGATGTTGCAGGGTATGTTTGTCCGCTATCTCAGCTTCAGTTATCTCCCTCTCCTCCCTCTCCTTTTCAGTCAATCCTAGAGGCAAACACTCAATGTTCAATGGATCAGTGTCGAGCCTAAAAAATACCCGCTGTACGAACTTGGTACGTGTGCGTCGACGAGACAGGTTCTGACGTAGGACAGACGACGAATCGCTACTCATGAATGGAAAGTGGCCTCCTAGAAAATTGTGATCCTGTTTATCCTCGACTTCGAGCATTTGCCATCGTTCGTTATTCAAAAGATTGGTCAGTTCGCTTCTGCCCCAGTCTTCGTAGATGTCATTGGGGACATTCGCAGTCAACTTCTTGAGGTTCTTGAACTGCGAAGCATAGCGGGCCCAGAAGCGTCTCCAGCCAATCATTTCGCGTTGCATGAGAGCCACCTCGGCAGGGGTAGGGCGTTTCGTTGCGCGAAGCCAGCCGGAGACGCCAGGCACGTCAGCAGGGTACTGTATTGTGAGTTCGTCAACCATGGAAGCAATGGGCGTAAGACTGAATACGGCTTGGGTCGGGAGCAACACTTCGCGCTTGTTCTCATTGTCACCAACGAAAGTCTTGTAGTCACCAAAGTATAGGCTACCATCGAGGCCAGATGAAGGACACATGTTTGTGCGGTCGCCAATGGAAACACGGATTGGGATGTTGAGGCTTCGCAAGGTTGATACCATGGTTTTTATGCGTGAAAGCACATCTTGTTTGGGTAAAAATGTTCGGTTGGGCTCTAGATTCGCAGGGAAGACGTCGCACATCATGCTTTCCCAAGCCAATATCGGCTTCCAGTCGCACTTCTCGGCTAGCCATCGCAGCGCTTCCTGCACCTCGGGCTTGGAACTAGGGTCACTGAGTGCCTGGTCGTTGTTTTGCTGTGTGGTCTGTCCAAAGTGATGTCGCCGTTGCATGACATTGACGAGGTGGAACGGGTGGAGTATGATGTTTTGAAGGTTCCGGATAGGTTTGATGTTGATGTTTGGATACTTTTTAGAAATCGTCTGGAGGCTTTGGAGCAAGTCCTCGAACGATGCTCCAACACCCTGAACGACATGGTTTCCGAGCATCATATGGTCGCGCCCGCAAGCATCGAACGTTTTGTCGTCAAAAGCCTCCTCTTCATCGCGATGATGATGTCCTTGGGTTATTCTGTAGGGAATTGGGCCGATCACGTCACGGTCACGACGGTCTTCCATCCAAGAGTATAGACCTATTTCAACATCTTTGATACGCGGCCAAGCTGTTGCATCGGTGGAGAAGAGTGAGCGGTAAGGGGCGTAGTCGTGTACCCTCAGCTTCGTCATGGTGTCCGGGCAGTACTTTTGCACGCCATCGACAAGACAGCAAACGCGCTGATGAACCTCCCACTCGTTCCAGGTGCTGGACTTGAGTTAGTACTTAGTTCGGCGACATGACCACCATATTTGTCTTACTGGAACCCCGAGTACCGCTCTCGTATTGCCAACGTCTTCAGTTTTTTACATATTGGGAAAATGGCGTTTGCAACAGAGCCTCCATCGCGTCGTCTTGATATCCTAAAGCTCTGCTTGAAGCGATAGTCCTGATATGAATAGCTGTACTCGATTCGAGAGTGCGCAGTATAGTCGGCCCAGTTGGCGACCTCGAGTTCTTCAAGACGTCCAAACAGTTCAGGACAAGCATCGGCCATCATTTTCCAGGTCCAAGTCTCCTCCGGTGTCCATACAAAATCCTTGATGGCGGAGATGTCCAAGCTAGTCAAGCAAGGTAGATTCTCTTGTATCCACTTGAAGTCCTCTATGCTCGCCCAGTGAGACATGGCCAGCTTGTGCACGTGTCGGCGGTTCCCATCGTTGATGCTCTCCTTGAAGCTTGTCCACCGTATGCTGCCCAAGCTCCGGTATTTCCAGTCGCCCAGCCTGATGTCGCGCACATCGTTGAGTTGTATGGGATACTTGTACAGCAGCTGGTTCACCGTCACGCTGCTTGCCATGCCTTTACAAAGCCGCTTCAGACTCCACGCAGCATCGCGGTTGAGATAGTCCATGACACACTTGAAAATGTCGTCGGGCAGTTTAAGAAGCATGCTGTTCTGGGCCACGGCGACTGTGGGCTTGGGGGGGATGGGAGCGTCGAAAGCGGTAGGGCTGCATTCGCGACTGGAGGCAAAGTCGGGCATGTCGGGCGAGAGGTAGTCCAAGTCGTGCAGGCTGAACAGATTCATCAAGTAGCGATCGTAGCTCATGGGGGACAAGGCGGAGGTGTTGGACGAGCGGGCGGCGGAGCGGCAGGCTGGAGCGCAGCAAGTATACCAGGACGGGCGCCTAGGCAACTGTGGGCGAGGATGGAATTAGCGATGGGGCGCATGTATCTGGAGAGGAAGCGTGCACAGTAGTGTTCGGAGCACTAGAGGATAGTGGCGGAGAAGGTGCGACCGCGTGGCTGGGCTCGTAGCGGCGATGCGATGCGATGCGGAGCGGGCCCGGAGGTAACGGTGCCGCCAAGACAGGCCCGCGCGCGCCCTGGCCGTTTCTGGCTGCAGGCTTTCTTTCGTGCTCTGTCGCAACACCTTTCGCCCGCTCCAAACCTCTCCACAAAAGCCTCTTGCTCGGTCCGCAGCCGTGTGCGCCCTCTCACCATGGCCGACGCTCAGGTCTTCGAAGAGACCTTCACCATCACTTCGGTCAACAACGAGAAATACGATCGCGTGTCCCGTCTCCATGGCACTTCGACCGACAGCCAGATCACCATGTCGCTCGACATCAACCACGAGCTATTCCCCGTCGAGGTCGGCCAGACAATAAGCCTCGTCCTGGCAACGACCTTGGCCCTCGACGGCAGCGCAAAAGGCGACAACGATTCCATGTGGAGGAGCGTTGGCAAGCAGGGTGTGACAACCCTCGCTGACATGTACGACTACGTCTGCTACGGCAAGAACTACCGCATGGAGGGTGGTGACGGCGATGTCATGTGAGTGTCCTTCGCACCGGGCGAGTCGGCTGAGTCGAGGCTAATAGTCTACACAGCAAGTACTTTGCCAGTTTCGGCGGCCTGCTGCTATACATGGAGGGCCCCCACAGGAAGCTCAGCGGCCTTAAGATCGACGACATCTACATGCTCATCAAGCACTCGTAATATACAGCACCTTCGTCCTCTCCAGAGCATAACAAAAATAAGCATACGACAGGCGTCATGGCAGCATGTGTAGTGGTTTTGGTATCATCTGGCTTAGAATTTCGGTATGGCGTCTGGATACCCCCAATCAACTCGTTGGCCCCACTCGCACCTCTTGCGAGACAATACCACCTTGTCTACCTCCTTACAGCGTAGGGAACTCGAGTTTTCTGTGCAGCCGACTCACAATTTCAATGTAGTCTCTTTCGTTCTCCGTAGTGAGAATGCCGTGTCGAACCAGGAAGTCTAGCACGACCAGCGCGCAGTTGGGCTTGAACTCGCCCCTCCTCATAGCTTCTTGCACTTCCTCCACACTCCACAGGTAGAACTCCTCAACTTCGTCGTCGCCGGGCTTTGGTATCGTGTCTTCGGGAAGTTCGAGATCATATACGTATTGAACCTCTGGCTGCATCAAGTTCGTCTCCCCCCCTGCTCTCTCGTCTCGAATGTACCAGTATGTGACTGTGCCACTCGCTTTTGCCTTTGACCGAACCAACTCTTCCCCAAGTGAGGCCTCTTCTCCACACTCCCTCACAAGACTTTCAAATGGCGACTCACCCGATGCAATGCCGCCCGCTACCGCATTGTCTAGCATACCACCGTATGTCTGCTTGGTACGGGCCCGTCTCGGTGTCCAAATTTTCAATTCCCCCTCCTTTCTTGTGAACGCTGTGAGATGCACCCCATACGTGACTACCCCAAACAGGCAACTGGCGCTCCTCTCCACGTTAAATAGTAATTCTTTGCCAATGCCATACACGGCGTACAGTTCTCCTCGCCACTTATCCAGTACCTTGAAGTGACCCGTCTGTCGCATAGCCAGCAGTGTCGTTTCTACCGCTTGCGATCGCTCATCCGCAGTAGAACCGCCGACGAGGTAGAGGATGCGAGCGTCATCGTCAATTTCCCAGCTGGGTACCCCACGGAACACCTCGACGACAGACGGGAGCATGTAACCCAATGCATAATTGTAGCCTGAGACGCGCAGCTGGTAGTAAGTGTTGATCGATGCCAGATATGTCTCCGAATTCACATCGGGATATGGGAAACCATCGCATTGGTTTACGAGGTCGAGGTTTGTGAGAGACATCGTGGGTGGAGTATGTGATGTATGTTGGGTTCTCGTGTGACGGAGGGTGGGTGTTCCGCGAGCTGCGTCATCTGCTTACTTACCTCCGAACAGGTGGGGGCGGCGTGCTGAACTGGCAACGACTATCTCGAGGCTCCTTCCTTATTCCTGGCAACGTCCCTTGCTATTCATAAACTGTATATTGAGTAAGACGATCGGACGGATCTAACAGTCCCATTCTCAAAACTCCATCTGAGCTATCAAGATGCGTGCCACCCTTGCGTGCGGTTGCCTGAAGCTAGCAATGTTCCAATAAATTTTGTACAATGCTCCGTTTACACTTTACCACCCTCCAGCTACTTGTGTTAATCTTTGCCAGTTCACGTTAAAGCAGCAAACAACATGGAACAGTTGTCAAGCTCGAAAATCACTCTTATTGTACCAAAACAACATGTCAAGACTGTGAAACAGGCGCTCGAACGGGCTGGTCAGCTTGATCGAAGTAGCAAAATCACTCCTGAGTCACCGAACAAGAAGAAACACACAGCCACCAGGAATGTTGTTGTATCCAGAAACGACAATGATCGCGCTGAGCCTGGCCGGTCCTTAGCAGCCACTCCTGCACATACACCCGTAGCCATACAGGGACCCCCAAGCTCCTTACACCAGACACAATTCCCAGAGCTATGTTCCGATGCGATCGGGGGTTGTTTCATCCACCCGGAATTTTTCCAAGACAATTGTCAACTCGAAGACCAAGTAAGAACCTATCAGAGCTCGAGCCACACGACCACAACCCTTTGTGATACGAGTGACCGAGTATCTAGAAGCAAGGAACAGCAACGCATGTGTATCCCTACAACCATCCTTTATCCTCAGCACTCGGATGGATTAGAAAGAATCTCAGATGCGCAAAAGATTAGCGACCTGAAGCTAAGATTGTTGCAAGATCTCGCCCTCAGCGGATTATCTCAGGACGTTTCGATCTCACACGATGCCCCTGTTAAAACCTTGGCCCTAAGACGAACACATCGGAATCCAGTTCACAAAGCTCTGGAGGAGTTTCTTACTTCCTTCCTTAAATTGTTGCCTTCACCGCAAGCACTCACAGTCGAGGCGCTCGTCTCCAGTTTTCCAGAAGGGTATTCTGTCTACAATCCAATGCTTCTCCTTCCACACAATGCCTTTTCCTCCGCACCGTGGAAAAGCCTCATTGCCACGCATGCAGTGAACTCAGACGCGATGATACCATTATGGCAGAGTATGGCAGAAGCAGTAGGCGCAACACATGTCGCCATGAATTCTCCTATACCACTTTCAACCACGACCACGACAGCATCGTCAGCCGGAATGACCAATTCAGAAAACATACTTCGTAGTCCAGTGAATTTAACACCTCTATACGGAGACTTTGGAAGTACGCCAACACCACAAACAATCTCTGACCCCACCGCAATAGACTTTGCCAACGCTTTATGGGTGACTACACGCCAGAATGGGATATGGCAAACCTGGGCTCCGCTCTATACGATGTTCAGCCGTGGCAACATTCGTGAGAAGGCACGAATCTTGAATCTGCCTACTCTCACTACTGGTCTTAACACTGCATCGGCTGCTATCGATCTCTATGCCGGAATCGGCTACTTTGCTTTCTCATACAGGAAGAGTAGTAAAGCATTGGAGAGAGGCATCAAGCAAGTCTTGTGCTGGGAGCTTAATCCATGGAGCGTAGAAGGGTTACGAAGAGGTGCAGAGATGAATAGATGGACATGTCGAGTGCTTAAACAAGAGGACATTCTGCGGCTACGACAAAGGGGCCAACCTGGCGACTCAGATCTCGAGGATGCAGACTTTGTGGTCCTCGAGACAAGCAACGAGGCCGCTGACCTGGACTACCCGTCACTTCGGTTGCCAAGATTACCGGTTCGGCATGTCAATCTCGGCTTGTTGCCTTCTTCCAAGCTCTCGTGGCGTGTGGCGGTCGCTATGCTCGATACAAAACGACAGGGATGGATTCATGTGCACGAAAACGTTGATGTCAAAGACGTTGACAGCATGAAAAATGAAGTAGAGAAGACATTCCAGGATTTGCTATACACCATCGACGGCGGACATGAGAGACGGGTCTGTGTGGTTCATGTGGAGAGGGTGAAAATGTACGCCCCAGGTGTTGTGCATTGTGTGTTTGACATATGCGTGGGGTGATATACAAGGTTAAGACCATCGTTTGCATTGTTGTTCCAATAGAACGACATCCTGGTCCACCGTATTTCGTCTTGTGTGAGGCTTTGTCCTGTTCATCTTTGTAGCCATGCCACTATAAAAGGATCATATGTCAAGCAATTCAATATATCCACTGTTATCGACACTACCTTCTTTTTCCCTGAGGACATCACACCAAAGAGCTGGTGGAATTTCAAGATTCAAGATCGTTCTATTATTGGTATCATCCTTTCCAGATATTCCTAACCCTCGCTCCAACGTGTTAGTACTGTTCTGATGATGCTGTCTCGCTAGCTTATACCACAGCGAAAGGACACCAAGATCGTCGACACGAAGGTCGTACTCCGCTTTAAAAATGCTTCAACGCCCGCTCAAACGCAGCAAAGCCCACATAATACACCCTTGGAACATATAATACATAGATAAGGAAAGTTGAAGTCATGAAGACGAGGAACAGTGTGAAACGTCCCCTACTGAGTTCACTCGACCTCTGTTAGCCATCTACGAATGCCCTCTTTCAAAGAAGAATCATTCTCAGTCTTCGGGTGTGCATCCCTCGTCGTCTTCCTCGAATCACCTTCTCTAGAAGATTGTCTACCCCCTCGCTCAGCGGCCACTTCTTTCACAACGATCTCTAGTGCTTCGAAAAGCACGCTCTTACAGTCCACGTGCGGCACTTCGACATGTGGTATTGTATCCGATTCCGCCCTAGTATCGCGACGGCCCCTTCGGCTGCTTGATCGAGAGGACTGGGCGGAATTTACACGAGTCACCTCACCAGACTGCGCGAGTACGCGATCCACACCGTCGATGAGCGTGGAATCAAAATCCATGATGGTTTCGGTGACGAACTTTTCAGCAAGATGTACTTCAGTCATCATTGGAGCAGCGGCACCGGAGGTGTACGGATTACCATATCGCGAGTGGGCAGGAGTCATTCCAGTGACACCCGGTGTCATAGCCGAAGATTGGTACGTAGGCGTGGGAATGAGTTTCACGAGACGCCGCAAGCTGATGCGTTTGATGGAGAAATTGCTTGTGTCGGCAATAAGAGCAGAACAGATATCCATCCAACGCTCAAGCGGGCCCGACTCTAGGCTCGGTGTAGTCACTGTATTTAGAGGTGTGGGCTCAGCGCTCATCGCTCGCTTGATGTCGCGTTCGAGCTCGCGATAAGGCTTTATAGCTTGGACGGCGAAATCAGGGTGGAACTGGCTCAGCCAACCCGCCACGTTGACGGGCTGTTCTGGCTCACAGTGAGGCGTTGATAAGACTGAGGACTCGCCAAAGCTGGAGCCTGGCTGGCTTGAAGCTGACCCAAACCCTCCTAGCAGGGGAGACTGAAGAGGAGAGTCAAAGTCAGGAAGTGGAAGGTCAACGTCGATGACGCCATCCTTTTCGTTGACAGACAGTTTCAAGTGACTCTCGTAAGTCTTCTGACGCTCTGGGATTGGCCTTGCAGCAGACGCAGGAACGCCAGGACAGCCAGGATTGGAGTATATGTCCGGAGAGGTTTTTTCGCCTGAATCTTGCGGAAGCGGAGAATCGGCAGCATCGCCCTCGAAGACGCGGTCCATGGAGAGCTCTTGAACCATGTGCTCGAGCTGCGACCGAGGGCGCTCTTGCCCACGGTATCCCACACCGTCATCTGTGGTCTGAAAGTATTCACTTTGGTCGGTTGAAGACGAACGACGTCCGCTCCAAAAGTTCATAAAGCCACTCCAGCGACTTGTATTGCTGGAATCATTACTAGCAAGACTAGTTTGACCGGTACCGCTCCTCTGCAGGGTGCTAATCAGGTTCGTTGAGGCCAGGCTATCACTACTTTCAGGTCTCATATCGGGCATGGTACCGGATGACTTTGTCCTGGGAAATGTGAAGTGAGCGACAGGCATCGCATCTTGTGGGTTGGCTGTTGAGATAGTAGCAGTGCTACCCGTCGCGACCGGGCCTTCTGACATTGATGGAACCACTAGAGTGGTGCGAACTGAATGTGCAGAAGAACGCCGAGAGTGCCCAAGCGGACGCATAGGCTCTTGAGTCTCGATCAAGACCGATTCAGACCGCTCGTCTGAAATCTGTGTAGGTGGCTGATGAACGCTCTGGAGCTTGGGTGGCTGCAAAAGGATATTGGACATGCTTTGCTTGGCCCGCGGTCCTCGTTTGATCTGTCGCCGTAGGGAGGGCTGCCTTGAAGGCGGCATGTTGGTCGGGGGTGACTGCGAATAGGCACGGAGGGATGCTGAAGTGCCGGGACGCGGGCAGGTACTTTCCCCCATGGCAGATGCGTTGGGTGGTAAGAAGGCGGCGAGTAGAAAGATGAGTCTCCGTGCAGCCATCTTGTCTGGAGAGACGATGACGGTGCGGTTAGGGATTGTTAGAATCTCACCGGCAGTTGCCTTTTGCTGCTCGCGGTGACGCTTACGGTACCACTTGGGTCCCAAAACGTTGAGCCACTCGGTGTGATTGCCGAGGAAAGCAGTAAGGAGGTTGAAGAAGAAAAAGTTCTGTTCGCGTCGACCTGCCCAGCGACCAAGCCATCTGGCCTCTTCGCGCCACACACCCCACTTGCCCTGACCTGTCATGACACGAGGGATCCTCATGCCGCTCACCACGCGATTGCCAGTAAGCTCTGCTGCGGTTTGAATTTCCTTGTCCATCATGAGGGCATTGGGTTGCAATCGCAGGGCCCGCCGGCTGGCGTGGAGAGAAGTGTCGCGGAGACTAGCCCGCGAAGGCTGATTTCGCTGATGATGAGTTGTAGGCGTAGGCATGCCTTCTGGCGACCGAGGCGCCTTGAACTGGGCCAATATCCTCTCCTGTACCACGTGTTGCAGGCTACTGAGAGCACGCATAATGACGTCCCAGTGTTGCCCTACGACATCGACACGGTCATCGACATCACTACATAGCGACGAGGATAGAAGTGAATCAACGCCGAGATTGGAGTCGATGAAGGCCCATCCTGCGCGTCGTTCCGAGTCGAGGGAAGAAGCAAGCGAGTCCTGCCCAGGAGCAGAGGTAGACAGATGCACCGGCGTTCTGGTATTGGCGCTCCTGGAAGAGGGTCTCAGGCTTGGAGATGTGTTTGATATGGGAAGGTGGAGGATGATGGTGATGGCGTACATGGGGCTCTTTCGCACGTGCGAAGGGTAGGGTGCCTTGGGGGCACCTGGTTTCGTGCTTGTTGCAGGGAAAGGGAAGCCATTGCCTTTTGGCAGTGAGCTCTGCGGAGTGGGGGTGCGATCATCGTGCTCCTCTTCCGGCACAGTGACTGAGAACATGCGCGTGATGAAGATGGTACGCCGCCTGGGCTCCTTGGGTACGCCGCCACTGGAGTCGGCGCGGGGTAGGTCGGATGGAAGGTTGGCGGGTGTGAAGGATTTGGCGAGATGGCTCCTTCTGCGAAGGCCCTCGGCGCGACCAAGAGAGTTGGTAGCGTCCTGGACGCTGGTGCTCAGCAACGACGAGTCGGCTGGCTTTGTGTCGAGCGGCACAATGTGTATCTTGTTGGAGTTGCCGCGGTAGTTCATGGCCAGGTTGCCGAACATGCAGTCGAGGCAGATGTTGGCCAGGTCGGTTGACTCCTTGGCCCTTGCCTGGGCTTTGGCCTGGACCTGGGCGTGCTCGTCGATGTTGGGCATGGAGGATATGGAGCTGCCGCGGGTGCGTATGCGCGTGAAGCCTCCGACCGTGGGCGAGCGCGGTGGCGCGGCGGGCTCTGTGACGAGCGACGATGTGCGGGCATGCAGTCCCCCAAACGTCGGTGCTGGCGTGCTGGCATTGCTGGCATGGGCGGCGCCAAATGGGCGGGTGCGGAGGGGGGGCGATGTGGGAGCGTCGACGCGTGGTGGTGGGGCAGGCTTGGAGTCGAACAGGATGGTCTTGGGCATGGCGGGCGTCTCGTCCTGGGCGATGATGATGCGGCAGTCGCGCGGGTAGTCGAGGTCTATCTCCGGCAGGGGCCCATCGTGGCCGCTCCCCGGGGTCAAGGGCGCGGCGTGCAAGGGATACGGCTGGCCGTCGGGATGGTAGAGCGTGTTGTACTCGGGATACAGCAGGTGGCGCGTGTGGCTCTCTTCTGTCGCCGAGTCGAGCACCGTCGGCGGCGGCGCGTGAGACGCGCTGCTGCCCTTGCGGCTGCTAAACAGGTGTCCGATCATGTCTGGCAGTGGGCGCATGCCTCCATGGAAGCGCGCCCGTCGTCTTAGCAGTGGGCGAGAGAGGCGTCGTGGGTTGGGCGGGCTCGAGCAGTGCGAGGTGCTGGTTGACCCATGGCAGCAGAGAGACCGTCTCTTGCTTGCGGGCGGGTGAGGGCAGCGGGCGACGTGGACGGATGGGGGTCAAGGTGATGGCGTCACAAGGTGCCTTTGTGCAGCCTCAGCAGCGGGGTGCTTGGACAGCAGAGAGAGGAAGCGTGTCGCGTGGGTTAGTGAGGGGAGCGCGCTGTAACGTAGTGGATTCGCTGCTAGTGTTTGGCTCCAGTCGACGCCGGTTGCTGCTTAGTTATAGAAGGGCGGTGAGACGACTCCCGACTATCGTGAACAAGATCGACCCACGGCGCACATCACCCCTCCACCACGTCTCCACCCAAGAATTCTCATCGTCACACGTCCGACAAGTGGGACCGAGATTCGCTTTCACGACATGGCCTTAGGCTTTCGCCTCGACAGCCCGCCATTGTCCTTTGTCCATCGTCGTGCCATGCCTCCCGCCGTCAGTCATCAACGACTACGGCTGCGCATCTCCCGGGGTACCCCAGACCATGATATGCATGTCGTTCCAAACCGTCCTGGTGCAATCCTCCGCCTCTCCTTGACAGGCTGACGCACGCCAACCCGCACTTTCGATATCAACAACTTGCCCTGCCTCGGACCACTTCCGCGCGTGCCTATCAGCCCAGACGGAAGCCACTGCCCAGCAATGGATACTTATCGACATCGTGTAACCATGTCACTTCATGTCCCATTGAGTCGACAGAGGCTCATCCAGTAA